AAGAATAAAAATAGGCGGACTCACTATTTGATTTCATTTATATACTGATTGGAGTAATTTCCATACTACAGTGTGTGATGTCGAGGGCGCTGTGAATAGAGTGCAAAGAAGTTGTATGAAAATGAAATAAATACAATAAAAATAAAATTAAAATTAAGTTAAAATAGAATAAAATTAAATTAAAATTAAATTAAAATTAAATTAAAATAAGTATAAAATGAGTAAAATTAAATAAAAAAGAATAAAATACATTAAAACAGACAGCATTACAAATATAATAAGTGAAATATATACTAATGCTTTCATACCATCGGATTTCGGTGGGTCCTATGATCGGAAGTCATCGGATTACCTTAGATCGTATAGCCGGATGCGATCAGATCCTGTTCTCGAAATCCAATGAAATCCGACGGCGGAAATCGTCGGAAATCAATGGATAATGACGGTTTCCGACAGTCGGATGCCGACAGTTGGGAAAGCATCGGATCCTGTTGGGAAGGTTCGACCTGGGATAGGTTCAGTATTCACACAAATATTAGCAAATATATGTATACATGTTCAAATGGAAATAAGATTTAATCAGATACCAACCTTTACACACTAAAGTCTATGACATGTCTGTTGTAATTACATTTGATACATGAATCGATATTTTTTCCTTTACCTTATTCTCTTTGGATAGATTGATGATGTCTTCATGGCAGATAAACAGAATATTAATAAAATTCAACGATAAATCGAAAGAACAACCACTAGAGATATTAATATTAAAATGAACTATTAAATTGATATATCAGTTAAGTTTCTTGATGTTCATTGAATAAACTTATCATTTTCTCTAAATACATTTGAATATAACCAACTAATAAAGATTATTGATGATCTTATTGTCGAACGATTGTTTAAAACATTCATATTTCGATATTGATATCGTTTTAATTGTATCTATTTATGCATAGCTAAAACTATTCACATTATTATTTCTTTTACTTCATTGATAAAAGCAAAGTTCAGCATGAAATTATATGATTTCAACATTACCAATGACTACTTCATTCGTATAAGTCAACTAGTTAGCTTTAATATTATTATTCTTCAAATATGCTTATTAGTTGTTTCTTCATATAGATAGTAGAACATTGACTACAGGAATCCAACAAATATCTAGTGTCTTGTCGTCCTGTATGTTTTAGTCATTGAAGAATAAACACATGTCAATATCTAAGCCATTTTATTGAAAATTTATGTAAAATATCATACATTGACGAAAACTTATCGATGCTGAATGGTACATTCAAAAACATAAAAAAGAAGTGAAACAATATAGAATGGATTTTTTCGAACGCAAGACAGAAGATTGTAAGACTATGGATTCTTGATAACAGAGTTGAGGAGAGGTTGCGCAGGTAAATATTGACAGTCTATGAATCATCGAAAGCATTCTTTTTCGTAGTTTTACGACGGTATGCCTTCTCGTTTAAACATTTTTCGCGATGAGTGATAGAATAATATTAAAAGGACAAAAAAATTTTCAGTCATCATGTTAAGAGAAACTGAAAACTAACACGCGAAAACTAACAATGGCCGAGCAACCAGAGAAAAATAATTCTATTTTAAATACTCTTCGAGACAATGTAAATCAACTCGAAACGCGTTTTGTGAAAATACGCGAAGAAACTATTTCAAAGTTAAATGAATGCAGTGAATGTATTAAATCGGCTAAACAATTATGTCACGAAGCAACAGAAATGACAACAGTCTTAGAAAACAAATTAGTTAATGCATCGAATGACGAAAAAGAATGGAAAGACATCAAAGTTAAATTAGCAACAACATCAATTCAAGGTATGGTAATACTCAACGTTGGCGGTGATAGATACACTACAAGTATTGAGACATTAACAAGAGAAAAAAATACTTTCTTCACTGCACTCTTCTCTAAACAATGGCAACTTGAAAGAGACCCTGATGATAAAAGTATATTCATCGATCGAAATGGCAAAATTTTTACTTATATTCTTGAATATTTTCGAACAAACACAGTACCAAATAATGTTATGAAAGATGAAACACTTCTAACTGGTCTTTTAATTGAAGCTGAATATTTTCAGTTGAAAGACTTGTTAGCTGTATTGCCGGATACATTTCCAAATGGAACATTGCTTAAAGTTCAACATAAGCAAAAATTAAATGACTTTTATGGTAAAACTAATCAACAATGGGAATTGATTTATAAAGCCACGCGTGATGGATTTGATGCAAATACATTTCATTCACGTTGTAATAATAAAGGACCAACAATAACGATTATTCAATCAAATAATAATTATCTTTTCGGAGGTTATACAGCTATTCCATGGGCTTCGGAAAGTGCATTTAAGACTGATACTACAGCATTTTTATTCACTTTGACCAATCCTAACAATCTTCCACCGACAAAATATCTCATAAATCTTGCGAAACAAGTATATGCAGTTTATCATTATGGTGTACATGGTCCAACATTTGGATACCCTCACGATATCAACATAGCAAATGGTAGCAATGCGAACAATACAAGTTGCACTAATTTTCCTAGTACATACCTTGATACAACTGGAAAGGGTAATAATACATTCACTGGTGCTAGAAATTTTACCACATCTGACATTGAAGTTTTCAAATTAGCTTAAATTATCTTTCTCGCTGCTGATTGTTAACAGTCATTCACGACAAGAATTGACTTATGATTATCCGGATTTAAAAATCTGTTTCATCTAGAAAATATGAGATAAGCTGATAATAAATGTATATTTTTCGTTCTATACAAAGCGAAATCAATATTATGATACAAAGAAACGATTTTATTGCTCTCATTTTGCAAAAGTGATCTCTCAAATCAGTTTTATCATGAGAGAATCTCGTGCATTTCTTTACAAAGACATTAAGTTACTAGCAATTCATGAATGAATTATTCTGTATGTTTCGATAGATTTATTAACTAAAACAGCAATTTGACATTAACTCAGAAATTAAATAAAAGAAACGCTGAAGTCTATATTTTAATGCTAGTATTATTAAACATAGATAACATGCAAGTAAAGAATAATTATAATTAATAAGTTCATTTTTTTCATAAATCAAATAAAAAAGTATTGGTAACGAAAACTACAAATGAAAAAGCTACATTTTCTTCTTGGTTTATATTAGTGAACAAATTATCTTTTGCATACTATGAGTATGATCTAAAACGTACTAATCAACAGTCTTATCGTCATTCTTTCAAGTTTTATTTTGATGATCAACCTAAGTTATTTTTAGAAAAGATCTATGTAGAATAAATCTTCACTGTCTAAACAAGACCTAACGTGTGATATGGAGTAATCAAGCAAAATTAGAACTATTGATTTTGCTCAAAATTGATTGCTGATGTTATGTCAAAGTTTCTCGGTATATGAGAAATAATTCTGCATTTAACATGCACTGGCGGAAAATGGGATTTGTTTGTTCGAATTCCATTGTTTTAGGAAGTGAATAGAAGTGCTTTCGTTCAAAAAGAAAAGTAATCAATGAGCTCTATAGAAAAAGTACATTTTTCGAACGAACTCTTTCTGTTTCCTTCGACGAGACTATAATACAACGATAAGAATAACTTGCATTCAAATAGAAATAATTTTGAAATACAATTATCAAATTATCAATTACGTTTTACATGATTTTATTCAGGAATCTTATCACACAAAAAAATTACAACACCTCGAATCGTCAATGGTCAGTTGCCTTCAACAATTTCATACAATAATTGGTTGCTGCCTAGCATGTCTTCTTTTAAATAGCATTCCTCAATTAATTCTTATGTACGAACAAAATATCTTGTATACACTCAATGAAAGTTCTTCATCACAATGGCCAATCAATAAAGAACTACCGAATATTCAATTCAATTTTTATCAAAATCATTATCGTTTCATATGGATTTGGCCAACGCGACAACAATTGCTGTAGCCGACAATCAAATGAATGTTTTCTTTTACAATTTTTTCAGTCGACAATTGACTTCAACATTGAATCTGCGAGACATGTTTCCTGATTATCCACGTATGCCAGACAAAATAGCAACTAATTTACGAGCTATCGATCAGTATGTTCATGTGACTAGTTCAACTAATACTCAACCATCTGATAAACAATATTTTTTTCGTATTTCTCTCAATGATAAGACCATTTTAATATATACAAGATAGGTACATCTTCGAAAAAAATCTACTAGAAGATGCTACGGACATCCTAAACTGTTTTCATTTACTTTTATACTTGACGGTTTTCACGTTTAAAACTCAACGGTTTCAGCACTCGTTTGCAGTTCATTTCAGTAAAAGCACAGTTCATTTTAACCGCGGCTGATACATACTTATGTCACATTGGAAACAAAAACAAAAGTCGAGAAATAAAATAAACTGCACTGTGATTATTTCTCCGATGCTAAATCAAGTGATACCGCCGAAAAGCTTTATTAAATACTGCAGGACACAAACGAATTGTATCTCAAAAGTTAACCCTATTCTTTTTGATGGCAGTGCTGCATTTTGTTTTGAATTTTAAATGAGAAATAAGGGGAAAACGTTTGATAACAGTAGCGTATCTTAAAGATGCAGCTGAGCGCTAATTGGTACCATGTCAGTCAGATCATCCACGACACATATTCTCTTTTGATCATTTCATTATTTTATGGGAAAATTATGATCTGTCTTTTTTGGAGCTTCTCAGTAAGATATTTTTATCCTTACTTCATGAAACTGTGTGAAAAACGAGACCTTCACTGAACAACTGACCATGCAAGAGAATCCATGAACGTAACTGTCGATTTTATTCTTACATCATATTGTTTTTGATAATAAACTGAAAGATATTTAAAATAAAAGCAGAATTGTATTTCTCTGATTCAATTCGAATACTTCCACGAACAATGCACAATAAGCTACCGACACATAATGTGCCGATAAAAATAAACATAGAAAACAATGCTCTGCTACAAAGTACTGGACGTTAGAAAAACTAATTTGAAAAAAAAAGTAAATCTATGATATCGCCATCATAATGAGGCGAGAACGAAAGTTCGAAACTACACACTATGGTTGAATATTGTACTTGCATTCATCATGAGGCCCTTTCATAAGGTGAAATCGTTGTAGTAGTTGCGAAATACTGATACTTATAGTCTTCGAATTTGATAAATTAACTATATACACACCCACACCCCAAATCATCAATCTCTACCAATCCACACAATCATCAAGCAGCCGTCTTTTTCATCAGCTAAATACGGACCATGTTCCATGCCCACATCACGGCAGGCGTACTCATCTGTTCCAAACCATTTTTGAAGTCGTTGATCGTAGAGTCGCCCAGTCAATAGCATGACTTCTTCCTTATATGTGTGTCTGATTGAACTGTCACCAGGCGTTCGGTAGCCTGGTTCGTAGAAAAGAAGAAGTGTACTCGAGAATCGTTCAGTCTCATCTACGGGCCCAGACAAAGCACAGTGATCAGTATGTGTTGAAGCCAGTATCTTGAACAGAATAGATGGTTGATTTTCCGTCAACCGTGTCCATGATAGGGTGGCAGGATGAAAAAATTCTAACTCTGTCTTCGGTCGAATATTCGACTGCATATCATGTAATTGTAGAATTTGATTCTATTGATTGGAGTTCTAAAATGAAACAATTTCAATTGATGCTTAGTCATTAAAATCAATTATGATTAATTTTAAGTAACAATTGAATGTTTACAGAGATTTATCGGATTTATTCAAATCGATATTCATTCTACAGAGTTACAAAAAATTCCGATTCTACAACCTTGAATTTTTCCCAGTAGAATCCATTAGTAAAAATATGAGCGAATAACAACAATTGACAAAATTAATAACATGGGAAAATGTAAGAAAATAAAATGATATAAAAATTGTCAAAGCAGAAAACAAAAAATAATATCTAGAATAGTCAGCTTTACCTCTCGCTTTGCAGTAGTTATTTCTGTTCTGGATTGCTTACTTTCGGAGTAATGCACAGTCAGATCTCCATATAAAGTTTTAAAAAAAAGATTGCATTCCAAATGATAAGCGTACAGTGATTTACGAGCGTGTGTATTCCACTTGAATATACTCTTTCAAAATGAAATATTCATGAGAAGAGCATGACTATAATATATACCTGTCTTACCGATTGCTTGTTCATTGGTCGCAAGCACGAAAATATGAAATTTCAAAATCCTCAAGCAATCACAATTTAAACGTTACACATATCGATAATATTTACGTTTAACTGTAAAATACTTTGAGTATAGGTTCTATTTTTCTTCTCAATTTCTATTCGAATGCATAGATTCACAACACTCTGTACCAATAGATGAAACGATAACAGAAAACGATATATGTCATCCCATAAATTAAATGAATCAAAGATACGAGGGATCTTATTTTGTTTTAACGCTATTTTCTATACTTCCTAAAGACGTAATCGTTCCGCGTTGGATACTATTGGTTTTTATCTTGTGCTAGCAAATAATCTTATGATTGTAAGAACATCCTAAGATGCGCAAACCAACATGAGGTCTTTTTTAACTGAAAATTACTCTAATGATTTTAGAAGTAAATGTACTTTTGCATATAATCGAGAATATCGAATATCTTTTGCAACATTCGAAATATTGACTCGATGTTACTTCGTAAGCAGCATGCTCGTTTATCCATCATGAGACATAACATAAGTGTGCAAAGAAAACAAAATGTGTTATTGTATATTTCTTGATTGCATCCTAGCACACCCATAAATTCTAATCGTTTCTATTATGATGATCGATTTTATCCTGTTGCAAGAAATTTGAATTATAACACGAAAAGCTTATTGAAAATATAGCGTAATATAGTTGACATAGTCTAATGGAACTCTTAGGGCAGAATAATATTAGTATAGTTTTCGCGCATGGTAAAATAAACATTTCTGTATTGTAATTAAAAAATTAGAAAAAAATAATTTACGTCTTTTTTCATTTATTCAAATGAAATCCACTGAAGAAGAGTTTATTCTTACACTTGAAAAAATAAAATGAGTTATTTTTAGTAAAATAATGTATTTTTTCTTGTTAATTTTGGTATAAATGTTAGTGACAAAGAAAGAAGACTAATAATAAATGCATAGACAGTCATCAAGCGTGTGCATCTTCCTATGAATTAACATCTTCCCTTGATTTTCACTTTCAAGTATTCTAGTAGATGAAAATCAAGAAATGAAAAAATGAAACGGATTTTATTTAGCGTTTTCTTATTCTAAGTGGATTTAGCTTTCACATGAATAGAGAGAAAGTATGTTGAACACAGCGCGTCATGTGTACTTCATAATATAAATCTATTCAAATGTTTTTCTTCGTATTTTTGAAAACATAAATGAAAATTTCATATAACAAAGCAGTGTTATTCATTAGGTTTGGTTACCTGTCAAGTATGCACACGTCTTCGAAAGTCTGATATGTACTGATCAAGTAATCCTTCAGTTCTTATTCGCTCATGTTTTCAGCAAAGAACTAGAAAATTTATCATGTTGCGCATAAAAGGCATTTAAAACAATGAAATCTAAATTATTTCTTTCTTGTTCGTACAAATGCATGTATATATATACTAATGGCTTTGTTTTTTTTCTAATTACTTCCCACCGAAAACGTTTTAAGAAAAACCAGGACTTCATCAAGGATTGCAACGTTTAAAACAAGCTGCGATTTTCAAAATAACGGCTATTGTCGATTTTGATCAACGCGGTGTACTCGATTGATAAATAATACTGCTGATTTCATTTATCTTTTTACTCCTGTTTTCTGTTGAGAAATGATTTAAGTAGAATTACAAAAGAAAGTGTTACACCTTTAATAAATTAGTAAAAGCGGAAGGTTGACAATGCAGACTGCTTCAAAAGAGTTCATATGGTAGAAGGTGATAGAGAATGAAAACAAGAATGATCATGAATAAATAGTAGATCGAGCAGTGCATGACATGCTTCATCTATGATAGCAACAGCGTTCGTATAGCTCACTAAATTAAGAGAGGTGACATCTTCTGACCACTTGAGCTCAACAGAACGAGCATACACGTGCCGTCATAGGTACGGGCTGTCTCGTTGTCCACCGCGAATGTCACACATACAAAGTTCGTCTTGGTATACTAAAAACTAATCTAGATATTTTAGTAATATGAGCTCTGATGAAAACAATACTACTCCTCAACATACGTTGCCTACCTTGAAATAATTTAGCCTCTCTACACATGATTTTCATCAGAGTTAGTACAACTAATAATATTTATGTATTTTCGTGATTTTTAATCTAGCTAATGATGAATATCTAAACAGTAGTTGAAGCTAGTAGAGAAGCACAGGTTCGATAGAAAGGGATCAATCAAGTTTCTTATTTATCTTTCTTTGAAATAATTTTTAGACAAGAAGAATTATGTTGCCTAACTGTAAAAACTCGACGTGGTAAATATGAAAAGAAAAATTAATTTCAATGTTATTATAGTCGATTACGGCGACAACGATTGCAAGCCATTAAATGGCATTGACTACAACGGAATAGATATTGTCGCAAGTAGTCAGAGCATTCGTCGCATCGACCTCCACCTGCTCTATATTCCCATTGATTTGTGTGTCGACACTCGTAATTAGCACGTAGGCGGTCAACCATACGTTGTACATGTTCATCTGCTTGTCCTCTATTGTTGGTTTGACGCATTTGATGAGCCGGTATTCTAATTTAACAAAAGTAAATGAATAGCATTTTGCTGCAATCGAATTTTTATATTTGCTTATGAATATTTCATTTACCTTGCACTACGAATACGAGCTTCCGTAACAAGACGCCTTTCGTCCCATTGAGGACATGGGCAATTTTTCCACGGTTTTTTACACAAATAACAAAATTGTGCATGACATCGACAAGTCATGTGGAAACAGCCCTGTGTCAGCTCTACCAATGCTCGACATTGATAACAACGAGACCAACCGGCTTGATCAGCTATAGCCAGAACCCCCGATGTTTCCTCGTCCTTGGGACAATCAAGTGTACCATGACTAGCCGCTTTGCAAATAGAGCATGTTGTTATTCCACAACCAGGTCTAGAATATAAATTACATGCAAAGAGATCGATAAACGTTAATGTTACTAATTCAAACTAACTCTCAAATGTGATTTCTTATACATACTTTGGACATGTGCCAATGCTATTCGTGATATGCGCCGGAGGAATAAAAGCCGAACAAGTAGGTCGAGAACAATAGAGACGATCTTTTGTTGAATATTCAAGTTGTTTGGCATTGAAATTTTCTATTTCGTTTAATGTCAATCGAGCTAAATTGACCGGAATGATTTGTTGGCAGCACCTCGGTGGCATCAACGTTTCATCTTGCATCGATTTCGTAAACAATTCTTGAAGGCAGTCAATACAATAGATATGCTTGCATGGAAGACACGGATCCGTTTTAATAGTATATTCCATACACAAAGTGCATTTTTTTCTAGTAATAGTTCATCTGTTATTGATTGAAATTCAACCTGTTAACAATAAGAATTTACCTCCTATGTTGCTTGACAGGAGCTACTTTATGTGATACGACGGGGCTGTTGCTTATTGCTATATTAGAAATAAAGGTATATTGACTTTTTGTTTTCTATTCAAAAAATATTCTAATAGTATCTCAACATTTTCTTTTACTCTGTATTGATAGCATAAAACTGTATCCTCAAGAACAAACTTGACTTTGAAGTAAGACTAAGCATACGTGTTGATTGAACCTCATCGTTGTCGCTCTCGTTGTTAGAATCATAAAGTAACATTGCCATACCACGAACATCATCAGGAATCGTATCCACTGAGACACCAGCCAGTCTTGCCGCAAAAATTCGATCTTCTTCTTCTTGACTTTCCTGTAAGGTAATTTGTCGAATGAGATCGAGGTCGGCAAGCCATGCTGCATTAAATTTTCTTGACAATTGAATATCCGGATCCGATTCATCAAGAGCAATAGCCTTTGCCATTCTCTATATTGTCTTTTGGTATATTAATAAAATAATAAATTGTTTATACGCCGCGATAAATGATTTACGAATCTAATATATTATCTAAGATGAAAAAAGGAAATTGCTAGGATATGATCTTTGTTTATATAGCATTAAATTGAAATATATATTATGTTTCAAAAATGTTGAAAAAATATTAACTATGTTTTGAATTTAAAATTTAGAAAAAAATATCTATTTTTATATAATCGAAATCATTATGTACTCATGACTGTAGAACCACAATGAAGAGAGCATTCACAGTCTCTCACATCTGTAAAACATCATTATTATGTTGAAGATAAAATTCTTTTCAACAAGACTCAGAAATAATGTCAACAAAAATGAATATATTGTTTGTTAATTCTAACATAAATAATTAATTTTAAACTGTCATTATTTAAAACGTTTGATAATTCGAAGCCATTCAATACATACATATTTTATTGTAACATTCATTATTTTTCTTATTAAAATGTAACATTTGAGAAAGGCGCTCTTTTTCTCTAGAATGTTTTTTATACTTGACGCTGTAAAATAGAAATCACTTGGCAAAAAATATGTATGTAGATTATTATTCTAATTGTGTAGACAGTTGATTTTTCTATACCTTGCACCTGCATGAAAAAATGAATAATACTAAACCTGGTTTACATATATGGCTCATTCAAATTTCTTCACATCAACACAGCAAAAATTCAGTCCATTTGAATGCCGCTCTACCACATCGTTGTTTATTAAAGGAATGTTTTTACGTTCTGTGGGGGGAATGGCGTACCCAGAGGAATTTAAAGAAAAGACCTGATATTTTGATCAGAATAGACGATGTTTTTCTTTTTGCATTTTATTCGTTGTTCTTTCTGAAATTTATTTTTTATCTTGCTTGTCACGCGTGCTATGATTCATTCCGCGGCGATGTAGATAAAGTCGAAAGAATTCTATAAAAAAAATGTGTTGGAATGAGAATAAGAATGAAAAACGAATGCATCCTTTTGGAGACGTCGAGTATGAGGAATCTTTATTTTACTACTCATCCAGACTTGATGTTTACAGTAAACATTCGGCTAGCAACAGAGATTTTTGGGTACCATATGTGGACACATCGAACTAATTGTGATTAATTTCACAAGCAAATCGAGGGTGTGGGTGTGGGTTATCAATTCAGATGGTTACCAAGTCAGATGGGGTTAATTCATCAAGCCACTATTAAAGTAGCTAGTTAGGATAAAATTCTATATCTAGAATGGATCAAATTTGATTCGATATTTTTCGGTCAAGATTTTTATTCGGCGAAAATAGGCGTCGGCAAAAATTATATTCGCAAAGTTGGAGTAGGCGAAAATTATATTCGGCAAAGCTGTACTAATTCATATTAATCATAAATCTAATAGCATATGCACGATTTTCCGAAGATATTTATTTAAATTCTTGACGATGTGGATAAAAGTAAGCGCGTTTGAAAAATATCATGATTTCAAGCTATGCGTGCAATATGTTTTGGTTAAACAGATAATAAAACACTCATAAAGCCTCTGTATTAAAATCTATAAAGCATGAGGATCGTGGAGGATTAACTTTGATTCAAAAGTAATCTGAATCGTTCGAAGTTATCGTAATAAAAATGTAATGCTGAATCAATATCATTTATAGTAATAAATGTGGAAACTTCGGATTTCATCCGAAAGTTGTGTGTACTGCAAAAAGTGCATGGGACATATGAGTCATTCTAGAATGTCTGAACACCAAAATTATTATGAGAAACTAGACAATTTGATTTCTGGATGCAGTTTTTGTGCATTTTGAGACGTTTTTCAGACGATGTTTCATCAGAAAGCTACGGTTTAGCTCAAAACTAATATCAGATTCGGAATCAGAGTTAAAAATTGAGTCGATTTATATATGTTGTGAATAATTCTGAGAAAGATTTATTTTTGAAAAAAAATTCCCTGTACTCCTCCTCAGGGGTGGCCTGGTCAAAAATGACAATTTTTTCGATAACTCAACCATTTATTGAAGGATTCTTCTCATCTTCGAACTCGACCGAGATATTCATGAGATTGAACTGTGTGGAAAATTTCATCACGGTCTGACTCTCCTTTCGCAAGTTATCGTGCCTATGGCCGGACACACTGACCGATTCTAGAGTGTACTCACTTTTTGAGTACACAAAAACTCGATTGGTTACATCGAATATTAATGACTTGCAAGATCCTATCATATTTTTATAATGCACAAAGAAATATTATATTCTTCAAGATAGTCGTCGATAGCAATCGCATTGTGATTATAATACTGATGATTAACTTAGGTTTCAAATATCATCCTAGTATAATTTCGCAACATTCACATCATCGAATGTTATTTATTCATATGATCGGAAATTGTGAGAATACAATCAGAAAACTTATCGTGGTGCACATAGCTTTCTTTCGGCGATTGATTCATGCGCTCTAAAAGACTGTTAATTCAAATTAATTTTTATAATAAAAAATCAAATCTTAATGGCCTCAATTGAATTAAAAGCGGCTTTCGTAGTAGCTCCATTATTTTAATCTTCGGTTAGTTTTTTTAATTATATTATATTTCAATTCGGATTTCAATAAGCTAAATAGTGTGATTATCTATTATTAATCACCATTTCCCATAATGATAGTCAACCTTCATAATTCGTAAATCCATAGTTGGAATATTGGATTTCCGCTGGTAGAGTCTCTTTGTTCTTCTCTCATTTGGCTTATCAACAAGACTAACAACGAATGTTCACATTTTCAAGTGCTAGATTAATACTTTCAGTGAGTGTGTTCGTGCGAGATTAGCTCAAATAGAATCAATTAATTAGGATATAATGAGTTAGGCTATTAAAATTTCTTTAAAGTATCTAAGTCGAGTAGACCACTTGATTATAGGATTCGGTGACACCATAAATTTAAAAACATAGCAGAGGCAGATATTCGCTGATGGACTAATAGTATAAAATTGAATTCATCAAATATTTACAAGGAAAACAGCAGGCATCTATATGAAGAACAATATCATGTATTTTTATTAAATCATTCAGTGAAACATTGAAACCATCACACAGCATAAACGATGCTATCTGAACATTCTCTCCGTCCACATCCACAATCTTCCCTGATCACCTTAAGTTTGCAGGAACTACAAAAAAATGGTTCGAACAAACCGCAATATGACTGTTCTTCGATAACTCTCATATAAAGAAAGCTGTTACTATAGCTACTGCTTTATTATTATATTTGTATTCCTGAGTATAACAACTAGCAACAAAACGGAGTGGAGAAATCAATGCGTCATTTACTATTACACAAGGTTTCAATCTTCGAAGAAACGTGTGAGTGTCTATTCGATACTGATAAAAGCTAATTCTATCTTCATCATCATCATCATCATCACTTGTCGACAATGACTCAAAATTCACTTCCCATGTGATTTTGATCTGTATGGTATTGCACAACGACCATATAATCATAGGTGATGTAAACTATATCGTTATTCTTTCAACTTCGCCTATTCTAATAGCATAAGACCTGTGTGTTGATATCACTGAACTATACATATAATTTTAGATCTTTTCTTCTTACCACTGTAATTCAAACAAAAGTTTCAAATCACTTGATATTATATTATTTTTACTACTATCTATGATATCGTTAGACTGTAAAACTGAATGAACGTCCTTGTAATCAAGATTCTTTTTTCATTTGGTCTGCGGAACTTTTCTCTGCACTAATATTTCACTCTTCTATTAAACTATGTATAATAATGTATGTCTCTCTTTTTTTTTGTTATAGAAAACAACAAACAGCATTCATATATTTTTTGTATCGCAAGTATTTTGTGAATGATTAGTTGCTGCCCCGAGAAAACGCAAATGGAACTTAAAAAGTTCGTCGTAATTATTGGAGGAGGATGGAGTGGAATTGGAGTTGCTGAGTCATTAGCGTACAACAGTTTCGATGATTATGTTTTACTAGAGCAAACAGATTGTTTCGGAGGTTTCTGGAAATATAATACGTACGATTCTGTACGAATGCACGATCTCAGTAGATTATTTAAAACACCTCATGATCTTTCGGAAAAGTATAAAGATCATTTTCTTTTACAGTCCGAAGTGCCAATATATTTACAGCAGTATGCAGAGTATCATGGAATACCGAATCATACAATACTTGGGTTTAAAGTAACACGAATTTTTCATAAAACAGATGAAGAATTTTGTTGGAAAGTAACTGGAATCCATTTAGCTGCAAATGTTGAAACAACTTATGTTTGTAAATATCTCTGCATTGCAACTTCCTATTGTCGTGTGCCACAAATTCCAGAAAATCTAATGAATTCTATGAACCGTTTTAAAAGAAAAATAATTCATTCAGCTGATTATAAAACCCTTCTACCTTTGACATTTCAAAGCATAGGAAAATTCTTATTATTGGTGGTGGTCATTCCGCTTCAGAGATATCAACAGAATTAGCAGATGCTGGATTTCATGTTACTATTGCATATCGTAGTGGGCAATACTTCATGAGACAACAGGATTGGACACCTTACTTATCAAATCAAACAATTGAAAAATCACTTGAATTTTGGAAATATTCGATGGCAGATGAAAATTTCAATGAGATATTGGACAGATTTAATGAGAAATTTTCTGAAAAAATATATCATATTAATCATGAAATTAATTGGGCCATTCCTTCGTTAAAGCCTGCGTCTTTCATTGTTTCACATAAGAAAACATTTATTGATGATGATCATTTCTTTGATTTAATGCAACAAAAGTTGATTGAAATTAAGGGAAGCGTCAGAGAAATTGTTGGAGAATGTGTTATATTTGACCAAAAATTAGATGCTGAAGAATTTGATGGAATTATATTATGCACCGGACTTTCATCTGTACTGGAACAATTCTTAGATGATGCAAATCAATATCTGAGTAATCATCGCTATCTTCATTTACCACCAGAAAAATCACGGTTACCAATAACAGATGGTAGATGCAAATCAGCAACAAAAAATAATTTGTATTTTCCAGGATTTGATTATGGAATTAATCAGAGAGTTGATTTTGCATTATATTCATGGTATATTGGCGAAAGAATACTTGATGACATTATGGGAAATAATTTCACTCCTGAACTATCTCGTTCTAAATTCAAATTAGAGAAAGTAGAAGGCGCAGATTTATTGCATTTGTGTTAAAATCGAAAGCAATTGTTATCTATGATTATAGATGTAAGTAAAGAACGGTGAAGACAAGAATTTTGCTAAGAAACACAGTGTGAAATTATAATAAATTCTAGACAGACTTGAAAAACGATACAGGCCATGCATGTGTGGGCTGACAAAGTCAAAAAAAAAACAGATTTACGGTGCGGAAGTTTTTCTCATCTATTTTCAGTCACATAGCGAAGCTTGAAACAAAAAGCAGTTTACATCTTATTTTTTACATAGTTAATATTTTTTAAGGCCGTTTCAATTAAATGATGCGTTGGACTAAACGAATTTTGCCAAATAGCAAGTGCTTTTTTTAGATAAAAGAGCGCTTGAGGGTAGTCACCAATCTTGCTGTACAATGAACCGATATTGTTATAGGAGATAGCCAATGATGGATGCTGTGGCGGTAGAGATATTTGCCGTATTCGAAGTGCTGTTTCGTGAAATTCCAATGCTTTTGTGTAGTTACCCATGTTGCTATACACTTGACCCTTATTATTGTAGCACGTAGCCAAATTGGGATGATTCGGAGGCAGAGCTACCCTTGTGATTTCTAAGTCTTTTTCGTAAAACTCAAGTGCTTTTTCGTATTGACCCATTTTGCTATAAACTTGGCCAATGTTTCCATAGAAAATTGCCAAATCAGGATCATATGGAGCAAATGTTTTTTCTTTTATTCGCCGTGCTTTTTCATAAAATTCCATTGCTTTCGAATAGTTATCCATATTTTGATATGTTTGACCGAGATTGTTATACGTATTAGCTAACGAAGGATGGTCTTCGGGAAGATTTCTCTGGTTGAGTTTTAGGGACATTTCATAAGATGAAGCTGCTTCTGTATATTTTCCTTTCTCATTATTCAACAATCCAAGTTGATGATATATAAACACCCTTTCGTTGTTGTTGGTTGTCTGCTTGAGTAGTACCTTGTATAATTCTTCGGCTTTGTCGAACTGACCAGTTTTAAGTAACAATTTACCTAAACGACACCAACCTGTTGGACTTTCAGATTCTTGACGTATGCGATCTGTGAGTTTACGGAGTTGTTTATCATCATCTGCTGTAAATTTAAGATCAACTTCATATAGGCGAAGATTGTTGTCAATTTTTCGAATTTCTCCAATTCGAAAAACGCTGTGCGTTGTAAAGAGAATTTCATCTTCGTCTTCGTGATCGCTAAGTTCTCGAATAGACGCAAATGATGTCAATGAGATTGTTGGATCGATTAAGATTTGAAAAACAACACCAACTGTATCAGATATTACTGCAGATTTAGTGGCAAAATAAACTGAAACATCTCGTTTCTTACTGGTTGATAAAAAATTATTGAACGATATAAGTCCACCTTTGTTTCTTTCGAGTTTAGTGAAATCAGTTGTCGATAATCCTTGTCCCCTATACAGCTGAAAGGTCTTCCCGTAATATTGGCCAACTTGATTTTGATATAGCCTTTCGATTTGTTGGTGTAAATCGCAAAGAAAAAATCCCATTCGAATGATCAAATCACCATTGAGTGTTCTTAATGCTTCATTGAGTAGTTTGTACATAAAGCACTCACGTGTATACCAAAAAATGGCGTTCGATCGGTCATAAGTATTTCCGAATTCTTTAATCATTTGTTTTTCTTTTTTATTATTATAATATTCTTCTTTTTTCAAGAACTTGGCGAAATCTTTGATGGCTTGCTCACCATATTCCAATTCAAGAAGAGTTTCCTTGAATAATTGTGAATACATAAATGTTGGCTCTAATTGATTTATATTTTCGTTAGAGCTTCCTTCGTTTACACCAATTATACTGACTCTCACATTATCTTGATTACGATGTTTGATAGCCAACTTCAATGCGTCACAGATTGGATTGATAGAAGTGTGAACACCTTTAATTTTGGACCAACGCCTAGCCCATTCTTCATGTCGCTGTTGATTGCCACAAAAAATATATATAGAATCTAAGTTTGGCATACTATGAATGTTTGGCACAAGCGATTGACCTAATCCACCAGAGACAATAACATAGAATGTCTCCTCTCTATTCATACTGAGCCATTCAATGCATTCTTCCCATTTGGTGCATTGTTTTACTTCATTGACTACGATGTGTAATTGTGCAAGGGTGTTTTTACAATCGGGATTATTTGAATCAATATTTGAATCAACCCATAAGACCGTATATTGTTCGTCCTTGCGATGCTTTGGTCGTCCAGCAGTTACTACTGATGTTTTAATCGCCCCATCCGTGTCGACTGTGGATGTGGCAGCTTTTTCTTTGGATTCTTCACCGCCCATTTCGGTAGCAGACTACACGCTTTTCGATTATGATCAAATAACATCTATTTAACACATTCGATGCACTGCTGTTCTTTCTCTAGACTGCTTTTTATGACATGCCTTGCGTGTATTCCTTTTTTTGTGGCGATACACAACAACAAGCCGTCATCCAGCCTCTCATCTCATCAAAGCACACTTGTCAATAAAAAAAATGGAAAAGAAAAAATTCTGCCCAGATCATTGCATTTATTTTTCTTATATGTAAAAGTAAAATTTATTTGCCTTACATTTCTACTGCTTCTTTTTCGATTGAGATTCTAATGAAACAAGAGAAAAAAGAAGAAAAACACACTGTTTCGTTAGAAAATCAGGATAGAAACAAATATGCAAGGTAATTTAGCAATCGATCTCTCTGAGAAATTTATTTATCTAAAAGACTCGAAATATCGAATTAGCTTGTTTCTGAAGTTCTTAAATTCATCAACCATCCTAGTGCATTTTCATTACTAAACGATCATACAACAGTAATTACTAGTTATGCAATTCGATGTTTATTAACAATTTCGATTGCTACGTGTATACTTCATAAATACTGTAGGGCGTCGCTTGCCTTTCTTTAAACTAAAATCACCAAATATATTCATGATAATTTAAAAGGAAGTGAATCAAAAAAGTATTCTAACAACGAAAACAAAACTCTTTAAATACAATTTTATAACTGCTGCCATTTATTTTTTCTTTTTCTCTTCGACTGTTTTGATAGTAAATGATCGAAAATAAAACAAAAAAAAAATTGTAATGTGAAGCCATCATTTTCCTCGAAATCCATAACTATTGTCTTAATATCGTCTCCCGAAAATGATACATCGATTAGGAAAAAATCTTTTTCGTATTTTCATCTCCTATCTCCATGCGTGACCTGCGATTCGTGATCATCGAATACTGGTAAAACTTCTGCACATCCCCATAGAATTTGGTTAATGAATCTATTGAACTAACTTTCTTTAGAAATAACGTATGTAAAAAAATCTTCATTTGCTTTTCTCATTACATATGACTAATAAGACAAATATTTTTAGGCAATAAATTAGATAAATGTTTTATTATTGCATCCATTTAATAGAAACAAAACAAGAGAACAACACAACACAACCAAACAAATACAAGTTAATGCAAAAATTTATGAATCGAAATTGTCAATGTCTTTGTTTTTGTTCAATTAATTAATTTAAGCTTGATGCCGAACCATATTCAATAATTCAACTAAAGAAAAGATCATAATTCATAGAAAAAGAGAATCAATTAATCTTACTTGGAACTGGAAAAATAATTGTTGAATTCTTCTCAGCAGAAATTTGTGTTAATGTTTGTAAATATCGTAGTTGTAAAGCGATTGGCGACGTAGCAATAACGTCAGCAGCTTCTTTTAACTGTCTAGATGCTCGTTGTTCGCCTTCAGCAGCAATAACTTTAGCACGAGCTTCACGTGTTGCTTCAGCTTCAGCAGCCATTGATCGTTGCATCGATTGAGGTAAACGAACGTCCGTACTAAATAAAATTGAAAATAGTTCGCTACCGATCTACGTCAATTTGAACATACATTTCAACACGTTCAACTTTTACACCCCATGGACCAGTTCCTTCATCAAGATGAACCTGCATATTTTGTGCGATACTTTCACGGTCACTAAGAATTTCTTGAAGAGTTTTTGTACCGAGTATATTTCTTAATGTTGTTTGTGCAAGTAATTGTGTAGCATATTGGTGATTTTTAACATTAGTAACACTGATAGACTAAAAAGAATAGACACTTTTACATATATATATATATATACTATTTCATCTTTGCTTTATAATTACCGGATTGAAAACTCGACTGTAAACAACTGCATCGACTGATACAGTTACTGAGTCACGTGTTAAAACCTAAGAAATGTAAGTTGAAAAAAGAATCATGAAAAAAGTAAATCTTACTTCTTGAGGTGGCACATTAAATGTTGCTGTTCGTAAATCAATTGTAATGATTGCATCAACACACGGTAAAATACAAAATAGACCAGGTCCTTTTGCGCCGCCTGAAGAGAAAAAACATCTTGCTGAGTGGTAAAAATTTCCTGATCTCATACCTGGTAATATACGACCAAGACGAAGAATAACAGCTCGTTCATATTCTTGTACAATCTATACAAAAGAAATATACATATGAAATAAATATATCTTATTAATAAAAACAAACCTTGATGCAAAAAAACATTGAAAATGGAATTGTAACGAACATTAGAATATATGAAAGACCGATTAAGATCAAACTACACAAATCAATTTCATGAGCGGTTGCTAAAATCATACATAAAAATAAATTCTGATCGGCAACCTTCATCGAAAGGTAAATGTCGTAGCAAAGTCCTCAGTGCTAGAAAAACCTAACAGTGAGATAGCCTGTGTCATAGACAAAACGAGAAATATAAAAGTTGGAATGATGCATTTCTTTTTTCATAAGTGTCGCACACACACACATCGATACTTGATCGAAGACGGCTACTACTCTAAGTATAAATCGAAACATACATGAAGCATCTGTTGTAGTCGCTGGATGATGATGCACTTTTAAAATAATCACTTAATTACAAAAACATACATATTAAACGCGTATAAACTTACTTTCAATAGGAAGTTCTTCTTTTGAGTCTGAAACCATTTTTTCCGAAAAATGTATCTTGAAAAAAAAAGAAGTTCATTATAAACAACTTAAGAAAAACGATGTCTCCACTATGAATTTGAGAATTATGCGTTCATTCTTAATCATATTCTTTTCTTTTGGGAAAACACCACCACATGAACATGCACATTTATTCTTTTTTCTCGTCCTAGAAAAATAATTAGACGATACATAGGATGACCTTGACTCGTTGCGAAGATGAATGCTGGACGAAATATGATGGAAAGAAAAAAAAACATATATCGTACTGACCCCCGACCTCGTCGTTCGAATAGATCAACAATTTAACAGTCGACAAAAAGAAGAAAGTACAAGCAGGAAAAGATGAGACTAGTCTGTGCGCATCGTCGAGCAGATGCGCGTCTTCCTCTTTTGGAATAATCGACCATTCGCTAATTTTGACTGCATTTAATTAGATCAAGAGCAGAATAAAAATATAACAGATACTACTGATTTGTTTATAAGAAATCACAAGAACAGTCTGCTGAATACATTGCAAGACGTTTCATACAGTAACTGCACCACTATTTACATGAACATGAAACTAAAATAAACATAAGACATATAAACTAAATTAATGAAAAAAATGTAAGATAATTAAAAATTAAAACATTACCTGAGGCTTCAATAAATAATGAGCATACAATAAGATAATGTTCTTTTTTATTTTACTTCTCTAATTTTGTTTTGTACGAAATTGATTATGATTTTTTCGGTATGCGCATAGATCATATCTTTCAAATTTGATTTTTATCTTTTTTACCACATTGTTCTTGATCAATATGAGAATGACACAGTAGAGAGCATTGTTAATGTTGATTTTGAAATGAGAATCTATACAAACAATAATAACCAAATGTAACTAATAAATCAATATTCAGTTCAATGATCTTATGGAAACATTTCTATCTTCTAATTGCCAATCGCTATGAAATCTATTATCGTCAAGTATAAAAACATATGATCTATTCCATAAATATTATGCCATTGTAGAATAGGGAAAAGATAGTTTTCTATAGTATTGTACCGGAATGGAGAAATTAGATCATTTGCATTCTAGTTGATTGATGATGACACAAAAAAAGTCATCGATCATATCTTAGTCTATTTTCATTGTCAAAAAAAACTTTCGTTTATTTAGAAGATTTTCGTTTGAATATTTTAATGTATCATTCTTTTGAAATGAATCATCGTTAATCGATAGTATATTCTTATATCAATTGAGATAATTATCACATATGTATGTATAATCTTAGTTTTTGTTGGTTGACATTTACTCTATTCTATCATTGAATCACGATCAAAGAATGTTCAAATCAAATCCATCTTCTTTCCTTTTGATTTTCCATCTTTCACCATAAATGATTGACAACAATCTGATCTCTATGCATAGCTAGCTACATTCTAAAGATAGACGATCATAGTGATGTCACCGAAATAATTACAAGGCTCGTAAATGTGCGCATGTGTGAAATTGTTGTTTGCTCAACACATGTGCACGGGAAAAAAAGAGACAAAACATTTAAAATATCATCAATTCTAATTTGAGCTCATTAATGATGGAGAAAGAAAACGAGATATATTTATACTCTTCCCGTGATAAGTCATATTCATATCCTGTTGTTGTGAACATGTCTTCACGAATTCCTTTACAAATAATTTCAACTAATACACCTGATTATACATCGTCAACAATGTATGAGCCCTATTATAATTGTTGTCATTATGAAAATCAATCGGTATCTATGGAAAATTCTTATCAAACACCTTATATGAATTTTGATTCGATGTCAATGTCAACATCAATAGAATCGAATAATTTTAAAAAGAAATCAACAACACGTCGATCAAAACATATTCCACATCATCTTCGGCCACAACACGTTGTTGAACGACGTAACAGACGTGAACGATTACGTGTACAAGATGTTAATCAAGCATTTTATATGCTTCAACAACTTTTACCTTTGGATTTACATTCAACAACAACACATAATAATAATAATAATAATAATGATGATGATGATGATGAACAACAACAACAATTAAATATAATACAAAATTCATCTCGAATATCAAAGGTCCGAACATTACGTAAAGCTGTTGATTATATAGAAGCACTTCAGCAGATGTTAAATGAAAATAATTAGACTTTTTCTCGTATTCTTTTATTTTATTTTACTTAACAAAATAGATTTACATTATATTCATTGCTGTATAAATTAAAATAAATATATTAAATATACATATATATTAAACATCGCTTATAGTTCGAAGCATAACATTTACGAGTGATGAATAAAACTGTATGGCTACTGTAGCAGTTCAGCTGAAATTGTTTTTTTTGCAGAATTTGTGAACACGACGAAAAAGAAGAAAGTCTTGACTACATGAACGATTCTAATCAATTATGAAGTCGATCATTCATCTTATTCTCGACTTTATCGAAAATTTTTCTTGTGCTTGGAAAAACAATTCGCGTTCGAGTGAAATTTTGATATCATCTAATTCTTTTAGGTCGCTATCGTTCAGTATCAACAATTTCTGGGGTACTTATAGATTTTATAGAACTTTCGATAAGTGTTGAAACACTTAACTGGAAATTATCTAACTGTTCGTGTGCGCGCATCGATATTAAGCAGAATGATAAGAAGCATCTTCATTTTCAATCAGTTCAATTTATTCAATAGAAAATCGTTGAACACGATGATTATTAGAATCGGAGATATAGAGATTGCCATGTCGATCAAATGACAAACCCTTAGGACCATTGAACTGATTTGCTTCTGCTCCTTGACCATTTCCACCCACAGCAACAGTACCTTCTTTAGCTCCTTGAGGTCAACGCATTACACGATTATTCGACGTGGCTACCACATAGAGAGTACCCAACGCATCGACAAAAAGTTCGTTAGGCCATTGCACCTATGTCAGATCGTGTTCCACATCTAGAGCTTCAGTGACGACGACGCCCTCTATTGCATCTTTAGCCCATTTCATTACACGATGATTCCAGTTGTCTGACACATAGACATTCTGTTGTGAATCGACAAAGAGACATGTCGGCACAGAGAGTTGATTGAGATCTTTACCCTGGCCATTGCCACCAGCTACGATAGTACCAATCTTATCTCCCCATTGATATCGTCTTACTTCTTGTTTTCCGTTGTCAGAGACGTATATATCTCTTTGATCATCCATAGTCAATCCATTACATGCGATGTTGTCGCTGAGGATTTCTCCTTGTGTTGTGCGACTACGACGGGACCAGCGTACAACTCGCCCAGTATCACAAATAATGAGACTATCCGTCTCTTTGTCGATCAATACATTACGTGGACCTTTCAATTGATTTAATCCATTTCCTTTGCCATTGCCACCAGCAACGACTTCTCCAATTGTGTCACCTTTCTTCCATTGGATGATACGATCATTCTGTTGATCAGAAAACAGGGACGGCGCGAATGGGGNCCCCCCCCCCCCCCCCCCCCCCCCCCACTGGGGAAATTTTTGTTTCAATTTTACTCCGATTTGAAGAAAATAGAAGAGATTTTTATTGGTTTCCTCCGATTTTTGAAAAAAATACCTCCCGTTTTCAAGTAACCCCCCTATACTTTCATTACTTCGCGTCGTCCCATTATGGTACAGTAAAAGAATGTTAGTAAACTATTGGTTTTTTCATAGTTTGACCAAAAGCAATCAAGATCAAAGAATTGAATGAGGGCATCACTTTTCCTATAGTACGATTGTAATTCTTTTTTTCTTAGGATACGATAAGAAAACCAAGTGGCTCTGAAAATGGGAAATCCGGAATAAAAAAGTTTAAGATTTCGCGCTACCATTTTATTTTGTAATGATAATTTCCTAATCATAGGTAAAATAAAATTCAAAGCTAGAATGGATGTGATTGTAGGTGAAGGCGTGGGTGAAGAGAATGAACACGTATCCGCACCAGCACTCCACACGCTCACACCCGTTTTGAATACAATTTCAAATAGATATCAACAATCTATGAATTACTTTTCAGACTGTTTATTTTATTTTAAACATGTAGATATTCTAAAAACCTGTTTCTATTGTATGTTTTTTCATGAAGTAAATGTAACTATTTAAATAGAGTTAAGACTTCTGAATCATTTTTTTGCCGACAGAAAAGTATGCAAAACCGTCAAATATGTTGCATCACATTATTTCCTCTCGTGTCAAATAAGAGTAACGACACGATTAGCAATCGAAAAGTTCAGACTAGCCGATTTCTATATAAATTCTTTCTACGAAATTTACTTCAATTACTTAATAGATTGTAAGTGATTTTAGATGCAAAATTTCATCGTTAGCCTTATCAAAGATGTTTCGATCGAGATAATGAACTAACTTTTCTTACTATTAACTCCTAAACTAATGAAGGAAATAATTGGTTTATCTTACTAAATATTAGCTCCTGGAATGGCCCAAATTTTTAATTCAAGAAAATCTCATTTTGATTAAAATATGCCGTAGATAGACGCTGCAAATATGAATTAGCTTTTTCTTCTTCTAAAGTATCAAAGGCATGCTCACTGTTGAGAATACATGGTATATCTATATATTTTATTTTTCTCGTGATGACTCATTTTTTATCAACGGAAATTTAACTAGTAATAGATTAAGACTGCATACAAAGTATAACCATATATATATATATAACTCAGTAAAGAGTAGAATTGAACGATTTCAAGAAGTGTTAATCAACAACTTACCGATTTGTGGGGTTGGGATTTCTGTTGTCATTGTAGTTAAAATAATCATTTTCATTGTCATTTAGTGTTGTAGAAAATATATTTGTGAAACAAATTTGATTAGTTTTACATGTAATATAGAACTTTCAGTAATCAAGATTTTATTGCAGTGATTAATTTTGTGAGCTCAGGTAATACAGTTTGCGCTTACTTATTGAAGTACTGACCATAAAAGATTTTATAGAAACATCTCGTGAATTAACTTAATATTCGCAGTAATTCATTGACTATTCAACTGAAGTTATAGATAAAGAGAGACATGGCACACAAGAATTGATGTATCCTTTTGCAAATCAAAACACACATGACTTCGTCTATAGAATCAAATTTTATACGACCAATTTTTCAATACGTTTTGATCTTTTAATATAAACCAAAATTAATGGATGGTACTCATAAGAAGAGCTTTTACTCAATTACTATAATACATTTTCGCTCGACTACCATTACCGCATCAGTATGAATTCCATAAATGTAGATTTGTGACGGAGACATGAGTTCAAGAAAATTTCGAGTTCTCCTGAAATTTGTAGCTCATATTATGTTCTCTTACTTGACATCGGTTGACAGAATTGTTTATTGTAATCTGGTACTGGATAACAAACAGGAATATCACGACATTGAGGATGATGAACACATGTATGATCCGACTGACTACAATGATTTGTTGTAGGGTTGCATGGAACTAGTTCAGAACAAGTTACTGCGTATCGATCAGTACAAATGCCAGTGTTAGAAGCACCAGGTAAATGAAAACAGGCACATGCCGAATTCCGTGAACATCGATCACATTGAGACATTCCATCACATAATTGAGAATTTACTTGAACTATCGATGTACTAAATGAATTGTAAGGCATATAAAATGACGATTAGAATCAAACCTGCAAAGCTGAAAGAAAGAAAGATCTGTCAACATTTGATGAATAAGTTAATAATATATTTTAGAATTACCTGAATACAACGAGTATGAGATAATATATCATTGTTGAAAACATCGCTGCTGTTAAAATGAAACAAAATACTGATGGCAACTATTCTTATATCTAGGGAATAGATAATCTTGTTTTAGATTTGCTTGTCTGTAGCTCTTCAATAATTAGAAATTTGATTCTGCTCCAATGCTTGCTGAAGTATTTAATTTTACTCAGAACAAAAAGTAATTCTCCAAGAAGAAAAACAATATAATTAGAGAAACTAGTGATTGTGTTTTTTTTTGCGATAGAGAACGAATCTAGAGGCTCGTACGATTGATCTAAACATGGACAACATGTTTTGCCAAATGCGATGATGTCTACTATTTCTTGGTTTCAAATAGAGCTTTTGGTTTTGTTGAGATCAAATAAAACAAGAAATATTTCATTATAAAATACCAAGTAAATACTAAATTAGTAAATCTGACAATGAAATTTCCTTCTTTTTATAAGAAGCGCTGAAGCACTTATAAATCCAACTAGTACAAGAGCAATTGCTCGAGTTAGCTAACACCTAATAATTATTTTTACAAGAAATATATTCGAATTGTATTTGATATCGTTCTATTTATAGATTTCCAGTTTTTCGAAATTTTGATTTAAAAACGTTTATCAGTGCAGCCTCTCTGGAGCTGACACGTGTAACTCAAATATAAACTTTAGACTCACTCAGTTGATACAAAAACAGCCTACGGGAAAACCTTTCGCAAAAGTCCGCCGTATTTCTGAGATCTGTAATTAAGGTATTAGGTATTTACTTTTGTCTGTAATAGTGGTGTAAGCTGGTCACTAACGTATGTAATAGTAGCATACAACAGTTGCTAGCGTCTGCGATCGGGAGGGACTGGGGCTGGAGAGTCCTGATCATCTTCCGTTTAAACGCACCTTATTTTCTTCGAAAATATATGTGAGTTCCTTAAAATAGTTAATAATAGAAAATATTTTACACACATAAAGATTCATCTTACTAAAATGCAAATCATAATCTGCTCATTTTTCATGTATTATACAAAATCGCCAATTCTTTGTTATGTTAGAAGTTGAACATATAAATAATGAGGTTCGATGAATTTTGACAGCCAGCTTCTTAGAAGTTTGAAAAAATAATTGGACTGAAGAAGGGTGTGGGTTGAGTCTTTCGTTTAATGGACACAAATCACCCACATCGTCACGCTTTTCTTATTTTTTCTAGAGAAGGAATAATGTTGGAAAATAAAGACCTATTTTGTCGATTTATGTTATGAATGAATTAAGATCGGCCAAGATCAAAATAAGCGATGTTTAAATAATTGTTTCAATGCTATTTCATTTTTTATCT